CAATGACATTAATGAGCCTGTTCGTTGCCGTTGTCATCCCGTCAATTTTGATGAGAGACCCTCGCATTCACGTCTCTCGGCAAATGCTCGCTCGACCGTGCGATAGCACGCTACACGTGTTTACATCTCTTCGCAATCGATTCAAAAAGAAAGAAAGAGACGTTTGATTAATCGAGCCCCCGAGTTTTCAATGTGTCAGGATTCATATCTCCTTCGATTTATTAATGCGATTGAGCTGACGTCTTAATATAATCTTACAATTAGTCGACGTTATTTCCTATTTCGAACACACCTGAGTTTCCGCACAATGGAAGATAATATCAACCCTTTCGTGAGACTATGGGAAATTTCCCATCATTTCTTAGGATATATGACGCTCGGTAGACTCGCATTTTATTATATCCACTGATGTCGTGGCCAACTAACTACTTTTAGTAGCGTCCAGCGACTATATTCTTGAATCCATGTTGCATACAAAAATTTATATAATATATATACTGAGAAAAAAGATTTGATTATATCAACAAGATTATATCAACATGTATATAGTTGAATGTATTTTGATGAAAATTAGCAGAATTTTTAGGTCATCATAATAGGATTTGATATTTTTTTAACTAAAACATTTCATAGACTTAATTATATGGATTTAATTAATATTTTCCAGTTGGAATTTATAAAACTTATAGTTATTCAGTAATCGAGATAATCAGATATCTCATTATGATAACCGGAACTCTGATTGATATGATCAGACTCTACTGATTCGTTTATCTTGAATCAGAAGTTTTTTTTAATGTAATATATACAATGTAATATATACAGTTTTTGAATTCTGTTTTTAATTCCTGGAAGTTACATATTTCAAAACGTACGAATTAAACGTTAACGAAAACGTAAGAATTAATTATGCTTGTCGGATAATTCCTACAAATTTTGATTCGTTCATTTTTGAACAGTTATATCGGTTGAACCAAATTTTCATTTAACGCAACATCTTTTTCTCACAAGTTTTATACAAGTTCTGATGTTTCTGATAAAATCGCAAGGTGTTAAATCCTCATATTTTCGGAATATAGTATTTTTGTATATATACTTTTTTTTTGTATATATACTTTTCGAGATTAAGGTCGCAGAGGATTTCACAATGGGGCCTGAATGAACGATAACTTATCTCTCACTGTCTCTTCAGTAAACGTTATCGTCGCTGGTGACGCATGTACATCGCAATCGTACACTTGGAATCGGTTTTATCGCGAGCATTATTTTTCGCTGAGTCGACTCGTATAAAAAAAAAAGCAGAAATAAAATGCGCACCGATGCGTAATTAATACACCACGATCGGATTTCACCGACAGTCTGCTATAATGTTACGTACAGATTACGGTTCGAAAGCCGAGTGTGATAATCACACGGAACGTGACTTCTGTTCTCACGTTGCTCTTGATACTTTCAACGAAATATGCATATATGAGACTCTACGACACAACTTCTTTTCTCTTCGTGAACGCATCAGCTTTGCGCCAGTGTTAAAAGATTCCATTCTTTTTGCGATGAACGCAAAAGTTTTTCGTTTCGCTCCTTTATGCTGAATAAATATTATTTTTATCAAGCGTTCGATCAACTTGAATGAAAATTCCTTTTGGAATTTCTTCTCAGACATGTAAAGCGATGTCCATTTGTGATTACTTCGGGTTTTTGATCGATGATCGTGAGGTGATTTCTACTATCTCGAATTCATCAGCGCATTCTTCAAGATTCTTATCAATATCTTATCTCCGTCGTATTTGGTAAAAGGTGAATGGTTGAGTTATCCATCCGCCAAGACTTGTAAAAGAAAGAGTCACAAACAAAGCTACCTGCGACTCGTGATATCGATCGAGATGTCATATATAAGTACATAGAGTGGTATTTTCCGTCCCTTTGACGTCTCTTATGCGCAATACTACGGCTTCGTTCTCGTAACGCCGATTATTTCCCCCTTTCCTCTCTCTCTCTCTCTCTCTCTATTTTTCGCAAGCTTTCGCATCCATCTCAAACCTGTCGAGAATCGGGCCTTAGGCCCCCCCCCCCCCCCTTTAAATTTTTCGTG